ACCTGGTGCCAGGGCCCGGAGCCCCAGCCCGCAGGAGGCCTGAGAAGCAGGGTCGTGCCCCGGGCTGTGGGGTTCTCTGCAGGCCGGGAGGGAGGCTGGCAGCGTCTGGGGACTTCTCATCGGCGGGGGCAGACACCTGCCAGCCCGTGCCCCCGTCTGGTTTCAGGGCAGAGTGCAGGGTGTCGACGATGGGGCACAGCAGAGGGACCCTGCCCACACACAGCAGCGGGTCGGCTTCTGCAGGGTCATGTGTCGGGGCGCACAGGTGGCGGGGGACCCTGGCCGCGCCTCTGCCCGCTGCCTGCCGCCCACCGCCCCTCACCAGTGCTCCTCCTTCCTCCCTCCCACCGGTGTCTGGGTCCCTTTCCTGCTCCAGCCCGGCTACACACAGAGAGACTGTTAAGCGGCAGCGCTTGAGCTCCCAGGCCAGGGAGGACTCGCTGGGCAGGCGGCGGTGATGGGGCTGGGGTGTCACGAGGCTGGAGCAGAGGGGCCTTGCAGCCCCAGCTCCCAGAGAAGGCACGCTCCGGCCTGCACTCAGCCGCTGCGCAGCCAGGGCCGGGGACAGTCCACACCACAGCCCCCTCCTGGCCTATGGGGGAGCCGCCGAGTCAGGCACGCAGCCTCTGAAAGTGCCGAGGAGCGTGGGGGGCAGGGTGCAGTCAGCACTGCAGCCCTAGAAACCACAGGGCAGCCCCTGGTGGAGAGAAACGTGCTCCTCGGGCCTGCGTCACAAGCTCTGAGCACGCGCCTAGAGGAATCGGGGTGCACACCCATAGAGAGGTGGGAGCAGATTTCATGGCAGCTTTGCTCAAAGCAATGACAACTGGAAACACGCCAGATGTGGTCCACAGAAGGGATAAACTGGCGCCCACAGCTGGGGAATACTACGCAGCAGTGAAAAGGGCCGACAGTGGCCGCAGGTGAGAACAGGGAGGAGTCTGAGACGTCGTGGGGAAGAAAGGAGCCAGACTCGTTTTCAGTCATGCTGCGTGTTTCTCTTGCATGAAGTTAAAAATGGATCAAATGAATCTACATCAGCAGAAAGCAGAAAGGCAGGTCCCAGGGCGAAGAGGCGGGCGGGCAGGCTGGGGGAGCCAGGGGAGCAGAACCTCTGCAGACCGGTCTCCTGTGGCTACACGCAGCGAGGGCTACGCATTCGAATCCGTGCACGTGAGTGGGGCCTCGCGTTTCAAAATAGATTCAAGTGAGAAAGCCAGTGCACGCGGTGAGAGATCAGTGCTGTGACCGGGGTCTTGAGAGTGGGCACTAGAGTGGACACTGGACATTGGGAGGGACGAGGGGTGAAGACAAGAGGCTCTGAGACCTCACTGGTGGGCTGTAGGGGGCTCAAGGGGAGGGGCCGGGGGCTCGGGCCGGTCATCTCTGGGGGCCAGGTGAGACCCTGTGCAAAGGACACGCTAAGGGCAGGTGTTCTGGAAGCCGGAAGGCCTCGTGGACAGCGGGCCTGTGCAGGCCCAGACCTTGATGCTCTGGCCTTGGCCTTCTCCTTGCCAGAACCTCAGCCTGGCCCTGGAATCCCTGCCCACGTCTCTGCTGGGGTCCCGTCCGTGGAACTGACCGATGCCGCCTCTCCAACGACAGCGATGAGCGTGCCCTGGTAAGGGCCCAGGTGGGGAAGCTCAGAAGGAACCTCTGAGGCAGTATTTGGGGCACAGACGCCCCTCCAAAGCAGGCTTCTAGTGACATTCACTGGAGAACTCACACGAGGCAGCTCTGTCTGGCGAGAAGCAGCAACGCACCCTGATGTGTGAGGGCCATGGGGAGGCCGTTGGCTGTCTGAGTGTTCCTGTGAGGGTGTGTGTAAACTGACTCCCGGTGTGGGTGGGCCTCGCCCAATCAGTTGACGAGCCGCCTAGCACTAAGGACCAACCTCCTCTGAGCAAGATAAGATTGTCCAGCACCGACCTTCACACTCAAAAACCGTCAGCTCTCCTGGGGGTCCAGCCTGTGGCCTGCCCTGGGAATGCTGGACTCGCCGGCCTCCCTACTCTGAGAGCAGATTCCTGATAGCCAAATGCTTTTGACACACCCCGGCGGGCTCTGATTCTCTGAAAACCCTGGCAGATACAATCAGGCCATCCCCAACAATTTTAGACGAAGCCCCTTGAGGCGAAGTTCCTTGAGAAACGTCCACTCGGCAAACAGGTACTGTCCCCAGGGACCAGGGCTGCGTGGACGCTGCCTGGCGTTTCCTCCCCGCCTTGCCCAACCACGAGCCAGCCGCTGGCATGGGAGCGGGGCAGGCCAGGGTCTGCCCGGCCTGCTCAGCTCTGTCCCCGCAGCGTCCGAGTACAGCTCCCTTCGACCGGCGGTTATCTGTAGGTACACGCTGCTCCTCAAACATGGTCTTGCTGGCTGGGCTCGGGTGGACAGCGTGCCGGGGTCAGCCTCCAGGAGGGCTGCTTTCCCTGCCCAGTCATCCCACTGGAGTGAGACCGGGGTCAGCGGTGTCCACACGCCATGCACTCAGCTGGACCCGGGGGCCGGCACATGGGGGAAGACCAGTGAGAAGGCGTGTCCACCAGCTGCCATGGCCCCGAGGTCACGTGCTGGCCTGCCGTGGTCAGGGTGGACGGAGCGGCTGGGGCCACTTCCCTGAGAGGGCTCCGGGCGAGGCAGTGAGCTGTCCACCTGCCAACTCAAGAGCAAGTCTCGCCTCCCTGACCACGAGGCTTCCACCACAGGCCGTGTCCACTTGCCACCCAAAAGGGCCCACGTGCTCACCCCCAAGCAGGCCGCGGGCCACCTCCCATCCTGGGCACGCGAGGCCGATTTCTGCTTCTCCTAATTCCTGCCCCCTGAGGCCGCAACAGGAGCGCCCGGTGGACGGCGGCTGGGGGAGGCGTCCCTCACACGGGGAAGAGGGCACAGGCGTCCCGAGGGTGCCGCTGGCTCTGTCCTGGGATGCTTCCTGGGTGGGCGTGGGGTGGGGGCGACGGGCGGAGGGCTGAGCGCCAGCCCGCCCCGCCCCGCCGGTCTCCGACCCTCCCTTGCCTCCTGCACTCCCACGGCGCGGGCGCCCACCCTCTGCCAAGCTTCTCACTAGCTCCCCTCCAAGGAACGCCCCATCATTCAGTCACCCTCACTGTCCCCCGAAACACTTCTCGACCGCACACCCAGGAGCCTCACCTTTTGAAGCCCCCCACTGCCTCGGGCAGCCCCTGGACGAGCACCAGGGCCTCCCGCCGGCACCCACGTGGCCCACGGGGCAGAGCTCCCGCCGGGCCCGGCTCCCGCGCAGACCACAGCTGCGGACTTCCCTGTCACCCAGATGGGCGAAGTCGTGTCCCCGACGCCGCCCGGGAGCTCTGCGCCGCTGTGGCCGAGCCAGCGGCCGGAGGTCAGTGGCCAGGGCCCGAGGTCACGCCCACCGCCAGAGGAGCCAGCCCAGGCCCCAGACGGGCAGCACCAGCGCCTCCCTGGCCGTCCCCCCGCCGAGTCCCCACGACCTCCCGAGCACGCCGTGACCAGTCCGGCCGGGCCTGCACTGTCCAGGCAGCGGCCAGCCCAGCAGCGCCTGCCCTGTGTGCCCCGAGTCGGCGTGGGGCTCGGCGTCCCCAGACTCAGCCAGGGGGGCTGCGCCGTCCCTCCTCCCCGGCCGCCCCGCAGCCAGGACCAGGACCCCGACCCCGTCGCTCTGGGTGGGGCCTGGCTCGGGGGGTCACGGGGACGCCACAGCCCCTGGCATGACGGGCGGAGGGGGCAGCGGGCGCTGCGTCCTGGCCGCAGTCAAGGCCCCGCCAGCGGGCCTCCCGCGTGACCCCGCCTGGGCCAGCCTGTGAAGACGCGCCGGTGCTGGCTGCCAGGTGGTCTCCGCGCTGAAGGGCCTCCCTGCGTCCAGCAGACTGGCCATCACTGTCTGGCGGAAGGAGGCAGAGCTGGGAGAGAGCGCACGTGAACTTGGGCCTCCTCCGGCGGGGTCGTGGGCTGGGCCTGCTCCGGCTCCCGCGAGGCCGTGTCCACCCCACCATGCCCGGGACGTGCTGGGCCCGGCCCGCCCATGGCAGCTCGGGGCCTAGTCCTGCTTGGGCTTCCGGGGCTGCCCCCGGGCCAGCCTGTAGTCGAGGTAGGTCCCGAGGCAGGACCACAGGATGAACCTGGCCAGCAGGATGATGACCAGCAGCACCATGAGCGGGTCGGTGCCCGCCGCTGCCCCCAACCGGTCGGCCATGCTGAGGAGGCCCGCGGGAGGCCCCGGCTTGCAGCCTGCTCAGCCCAGCACAGGCGGGCGGCCAGGCCTGGGCCAGGCGTCCCCGTGGGGGCCTGCGAGGCCCGCCCTGTGCCGCTGGGGCCCCCGGCCCGTGAGAGCAGCCTCCTTGGTCAAGAGGCCCGTGCTCATCCGTCGGGCGGCCCGCTCTCTAGCCTGACAATGGCCGCATTGTCGGGAGCCCAGGGGCGGGGGGCTGCCCGAGCCCGCCCCTCAGCCCCGGCCCCCCCGGCTCGCCAGCGCTGACGTAATCTCCAAACGTCTCCGGCGGCAGCTGCGGGGAAGCTGGCCACCGTCTCCCCGCGCTTTCAGCAGCCCACGCCCGCTCTTCCGGCCCCGCCAGACAATCCGGCCCTTCTCTCCCCAATTAGCTATCACTTCTGGGGGCCCATGCTGTCCAGCGGCCTCGGCGGTCTTTGCAGCAGCAGCAGGCCCCGGACGGAGTGGGGGGCAGGGGCAGCTCGCGGGAGGCTGGGGCCGACGGTTGCAGGAGGGAGGCTGTGAGATGAAAGGAGGGAGAGAAGAGGACAGCGGTCAGCGGGGGCCAGAGGCGACGTGGCGTGCCTCCCCGAGCAGCGGCTGGGCCCAGCGGAGGTCGGCAGGCCGCCCCCAGAGAGCGGCCGCTCGGGGGA